AATATTCTCTTCTGAATTCCGTCGCAATGGCTCCCCTTTACAAGGCCGCAGCAGCATTCTGCCTCGTCGGTCTGAGTTGGCTCCAGTCCGGGGCTAACGCAAGTACAAAGTATAAATTTGAGGTGGCAGAACTAGACGAAGGTAAATATACTACCGCTTATAGTTCTCATATTCCTTGTACTTTCTCCCGCCTTGTTTGCTGTCAAGCCGTCAACCACTCGGCTGAGTCAGACGGCTGTCGCTTCATTGCAGATGGATTTTTCCGTGAGCCTTTGTTCTCTCTGCAGACGCCTACTTGACGGTCAAGCTTGTTCGTAATGGGAAAATTTCATCTAAGACCAATGGAGTCGAAAAGGATGACCAGCTTGCCACCACTTTGCAGGGAAAAGTAGAATCCGAACACGAGGACGAGCAGCCGACGTGCGCGTCATTGATAACAGCCGAACATGTGTGTGCATACACTATAAAAGGACGGTTTGCATGATGCTGCTACGACTACTACACTGGCAGCATCAGCAGCAGGTCTCAACTCTAAACACCGGCGTCACACCCGACAGAAAATATGCATTGATTCCTATGATTATCTGAGACAGTCTGAACATACGGAAGTTGTTATGGCGTTTCGTTCTGTGTATGCAGAAGAAGATCTTCTATCACACTTTCGATTACGAAGCTTCCCCAGATTACCGTAAACTGTTCCAGGAGGCCCTCAAAACCGGGCTGGACGCAATCGGGTAAGGATATGCGATCTTCATCTTCGCTATAGACAGCTCCCATCTGCTTTCATAGCAAGCTAGGGCGACAGCGATCATACATAATATATCTATCATGCTACCGTACCCGCTTTCTCCTCACCTATCTCCAAATCATTACATTTTTGTTGGGTTGCGCTGATTGTTTCTAATGTTTCGCAGCACAACATATCCGACAGCATGGCAAGATATATGGACGAAGGAAAACGCTCGCAACCTGTTGCACCTTCTCGGAGCCAGCAGCACTAAAGTCGGCTGCGTCCTTGCAAATTGCGTCAAAAAAGATGAACCTTTGCCGCACGCCAAGTCAGACCCAGAAGCACCAACAAAGTCTGTGCTTTTCTGTGAATTAGCTCCTCCAGCAACAGCGAACGATGCCGCCTTCAGGTAAGCTTGGTTTTTTGGAGTTGAATGTTTAGATGGTTCTTACTCAAGGATTTAGACGTGCACT